CGGAAACACCAGTCTTCCAGAGCCGGCCTCCTTGCACACTCCCTCCCCTGGCATCTCATGCATGGCCCCCAACAGGCATCTTACACTGCTTGGACAGAAGAGAAGAAAGCACTCTTCTCAGCCCTTTCCTGTCTCATCTTCAGCCCTGTACTGATCTCCTAGTACATATCACTCGAAATCATTATGCAGCAGAGCTCTAGATTGTAGAAATTACATTTTGTGGGAAACCAGAAACAAACCTGGCTGAGGCTGGGAGGTGACTCACACTGGGCTGGGTTCTGGGCCCTGCATCCTGAGCTCCCACTCCCTGAAACTTGCAAACACCAGCCCCACCCACCAACAATCCTCCAACCTGATCCTCTCCCAGAGTATTTTCTTGGGGTCCCCTACAATGGCATGTATAGCACCCTCTTGCCTTGTGACTCCAGGTTAGCCTTGTTTACTATCTCAGCTTTAGCCCTAGGAAGTACAGGGAACTGGCCCCTGGGCAGATTGAGACCTGCAAGGCCCTAATTATAATTGTCATGAGATAGTGGCTTTCCAGTCTCTGGAAGATCCCACAGAGTCTGGAAGCCTGTTTGTGTGTGTTGGAGGCAAAAGTAGTTGTCCTACTGGGACCCTCTCCCAAACAGGCCCTTAGGAAAAAAGGAGTCACTGGCACAATGTTCACCCTGCTTTATTGCCAAAGTCTTGCAAGAAGTGAAGGGTGTCCCTGTTGCTGCCAAAATGGCTAATGGCTGAAACCCTATTCCAGAGGGCTCCAGCTGAACCTTCCTGGTGGACAGGCTCCCCTGTCCAGGGCAGGAAGTGGCTGATGCCCATGGCAATGGCTGCTCCTGAAGTCCAGCACCACTTTGGCATTGAGCAGAGGCCTGGGTCTCACAGCCCTGGAGGTTGGACAGTCAGGCTAGGAGACCACACAACAGCAGCTATGACAACGGCAGAATCGTGGACAGTGGCAGCAGGAGCAGCAAGGGCAGCAGCAGCAGTGGTGGGCAATATCATCACCACGCCCTACAGGCGGCAGGCCAGTGTAAGTCAGTCCTGACGGACGCTGCCCACTGCCATAGGGATTGCAGGGCGACTGCCAGTTCTGCTGGCCCTGTTCAGAAGCAGTACCCTTGACGCCCTTGATACCTTTGGGCCCCAGGGCTTCAGCAGTTTGCAAGAGGCCCGCTGGCTCTGGGGTACAGGTTCCTGAAGGCAGAGGCTGAATCTCAGAGGAGGAAGATGAAGCTGGAACCTCTTCTAACTGCTGCCCCAGGTCAGACCGCAGGTGAGCCCGAGGGATGCTGATGTGGGCATATGGATTCTTCATGACCATCTCATGGGGGTCCATGGCCCAGGCTGCAGGGGTGAGCAGAAACACTTATATGGACTCAGGTAAGAGAAAAGTTTGTAGCCTAAGAAGACACCTATTTAGTAGAAATCCGCCCTGTGGAAAGCCATATCAGTGAGGCATCTATGTGCAGACGTGGAGGCACCAGAATGTGTGCAAGGCCTATGTGTCTTGGAGGTAGACCCAAGTACCCAGTTGCCACCTTCCACCAAGTATCCAAGAAATGCTCCAGGATACAGCTGGGAATGGAGACAAAAGGCTAAGAGACACTAGTGAGCGGTCCAAGGGAGAGCAGGGGCTGTCCAGGAGGTACCTCTAAGTGCAGGTCAGTCTCTGCACAAGGACTCACCTGCAGCAAGCAGCAGCAGTATGTCTCCTAGTCCTCCAGCTCCAGCTCCCAGTGCCTGTGAGTAGAGCTACCAGCAAGTGCCTTTTCCCTCCTAGATAGGGGTGGGGCCTTGGGGCGGAGCTCAAAGATGGGGTTCCCAAGATCCAAAGAAGCCTTAACAACTAGAGCACAGCAGCCAGTCACCCCTCATTCCCAGATGGGTGGAGGCCAAGATTTGGCCTCTAAAGGGCATTTGCCAATTTGGGGTGACTCAATCACGATTTATCTGAGTATGCCTTACCTCCTTGGGTCATGGCCTCAGAAAGGAAGTGAAGGCAGGCCTTCAGATTCTGGGGCCTTCAGATGGGCTTGGTTACCCAGTCATTGCTCACATCTCTACAGTCACTGTTCAGAGTTCCTCCTTGTCACCTACTGCCCACACCCAGCATATACTAGGACGTTTGAGTGCACAAGGTGATTTAGACTACTTGGAGGATTGTCCACTTTTCTAATATTAAAACAAAACAAAACAACAAAAAAAAAAACGTTTGACACAACCATCTTACAGTTGGTGACACGGACTTAAAACACAAGTGACATTTTCAACTCATTTCTGAAACTGCAGTTTCCCTGTGTTGGTGATTTGGGGTGAAAGCTCCCTAAAGTTTTTCCGTTTCCAGCCCCCATTCTTGGATCTGGCACCCTTCTGCTTTTGCAGCTTTACCTCGTTGCCCTTAGGGGGCATGAAGAATGACTGTGGGGGAGCAGCCTGTGTAGAGCCGGTCAGGCAGGCCAAGACATGAATGCTAGCAATAGGTGAGTCTGGGGGGAAACATGCTTAAGAGGTGGAAAACAAAGCTCATTGAATAAGCACCCTTAATCTTGCCCACCATCCCTATAGACTCCACCCCTAGCCGCGAGCATGCGTAAAAACGGCTGAGGTGCCCAGTGGTTTTGAAACTTAATTCTCCAGAAGCCTCCGCGCTCCAGGATTTCCTAAAGACGGAGTTTGGATGGATCCTTGGCTTGCGCCGCTCAGCTCAGAACAACTTGGACGGGAAGCCTTATTCTCCCACGGGGCGTGGCTTCATTTCACGAGGCAGAGGGTGGGGCCGTAGGTGGCCTTGCTGAGTGGGTGGGTCAAGCCCTTCCGGAAGGCTCATTCCTTTCTCTGGCCACAGCTACCTGAGTTGCCCCAATATCATGCTAGGACCCCATGAAATGCCTCCCCTCTACATCCCTACACCTGGACCCATTCTCTCACCTGGTCTTGCTGAAGGAGTCCTGATGTAGGCTTGGTGCCACAGAACTGTAAAGTCTGGCCCAGCTTTGGCTCACCAAGAACACTGTTCCTATTCGTCGAATTGTACAGAAAGGAGCTGGCCTGAAGAAAATCTGGACTGTCCAGGGTCAGACACAGGACTCAGTGTTGGTCACAGGTATGGTAGCCATGAGAGGGTAGAGGATGGCATTCTGGATATGTAAACACCCTGGTCATCAGCACATCCTTTGTCCTTTCCTCATGGAGGGTTCCCGTGAGGCAAAGGTGTAGCCTAGGTAGAAGAGGACCAGGTAAGAGGAAGAAGAAAGGAATGGGGCCTCTGTTGGGTGGGGTCAGTTTAGTACATAATTGTGAGACATAGAAGCACGTGCTGACCTGATGAGATACAAGAAAGGGCTACCCCACCCTAGGCAGGTGAGTGTGCTCAGTGGGCCCTCCACCCTACACATGGACTGCCAGCCTGTTCAGTTATTTCCAACTCTTCACCTCCGGTCAGAACCCTCTGAGCTTCCTCGTGACTGCCCCCAGCTTCCTCTGTCCACTCTTCTGGTATCTGCTTAACCCCCTATCCCTTTTGCTATCATATCGCCTTTCTGACGAATCCTGGTGCAGTGTGGATATGTCAGTGAATTGTAAAACACCCGGCGTTCACACAGGGGGTGTGTCGGGGTTTGGTGTGAGCTCGAAAGGCAGCCAAGACACAGGTGGAACGCTGGAACTCCTGCACGGGCATTGTGAGGCTCAAAATGTGAAGGAACAAAATGTGAAGGTTTCCCTTAACAAAATTCGGTGAAAGATTTGTCCCCTCGTGGCTCAGCCAAGAGGGAAGGAATATTGGGGACATGGGGATTCTGACCACCTCTAGGTAGCTGGGAGGTTCAACACAGAGAGCAGACGCCAGGCCAGGCGTGGATCAAGGGGCGGCAGGGAGACTGGCCCCGCCCCGTGGACCCCGCGCGGGTCCCCAGACGGGGGGTGGCGCTGCGGGCGCGGGCGGGCGCCGCGCGCACTGCGGTCCCCGCGCCTCCGCCGCAGAACGCGCCACGCTCCGCACGCACCTGCCCCTGCCGCCGCCGCCGCCGCCGAGTCTTGCGTCCAGCACCAGCTCGTGCCCCTGGGTGTCGCCTGCTCCGGCCATCGCCCGAGGTCGCCGCTGGAGCTACCGGAGCCCCTAGAGCGGGAGAGCCAAGGTGCGAGCGCCGCATCCGGGCCTGCCTTTGAGACAACCTCTGTTCTGCTGCTGCGGCGGCGCAGCCAGGGAACGCCAGGCTGGGGCAGGTGAGCGGGGAGGGGGGGAGGGAGGAAGGGCGGGGGTCAGACACATCATCCCTTCCCATTCTCATAGGGTCAGTCCTCCCGACAGTGAGCCCGGCCTCGGAGAGTATACTGGGGAGGGGGTTGTGTTCAGAGCACCGTGGAGACTTGTATCCCACGGATGAGGTCAGGGTCAGAGGTCGGGCACCCTGTCCTTTGTGCAGGGTGGAGGCGAGGGCGAGAGTGAGGTGGACCCGGTGCTGCCCTCACGCTATCTCTCACTCGCAGCTCAGGCCTGGTGCAGGCCTCTCCGTTGCTGTTGCCGCGAAGCCTGCAGCCCAGGTCCTCCGGCAGCCAGGGATCAGGCTAGCTGCCTTCCCTGGGCGCCCTGTCCTGGAGCCATGGGGCCCACCTAGCCCCTGCCTGCCCAGATGTCCCGGCCCAGGGACTGCTGACCTCTGCTACAGGAGGAGGCCCCTCCACGCCCCCTTGCCAGCCTCAGCAGACAGAGACCCTGGGTGAGCCCCTGGGTGAGCCCCACAGCCCAAGACAGCCTCCCATACCCCCTTGTCCCCGCCTGCTTCCCCCTCCCCCTCCTCTTCGGACTGAACCAGATAAGCCATTGTGGCCACTGGGAGGGGGGCTGCCCTCCAAGCTGTCACCCGCTGCCCCTTGTAGTCTACCGAGTGACCGGGGTCCTCAACAGGCCTGGCAGGACCAGGATGCAGCCCCTTCTCTTCCCCCACGGCCCCACCCAACACCCCCACCTGTGCCAACCTCCGGTGTGACTGTAGAAAGCCGGATGCCAGCTGACCCTGGGCCCGAGGTGGGCAGTGGATGGCCGGGCCTCCTCATGTCCTGCCTGAAAGGCCCCCATGTCATCCTCAAAATGGAGGCCATGAAGATTGTCCACCCTGAAAAGTTCCCTGAGCTCCAGGCGGCCACCCCTTGCTTCCCACCTGCACCCAGGCCAACTCCCACCCTGGCACCCAAGCGTGCTTGGCCCTCAGACACAGAGATCATTGTCAACCAGGCATGTGGGGGGGACATGCCTACTTTGGAAGGAGCATCCCACACTCCACCCTTGCCAAGGCGGCCCCGAAAGGGCAGTTCTGAGTTGGGTTTCCCCCGGGTGGCACCAGTGGATGAGGTCATTGTAAATCAATATGTGATTCGACCCAGCCCAACAGCCTCTGCACCTTCATCATCTGGGCCAGTGATAGCAGGTGAGCCCCTGGAATGCCCTACCTGTGGGCACACATACAACGTCACTCAGCGGCGGCCCCGTGTGCTGTCTTGCCTGCACTCTGTGTGTGAGCAGTGCCTGCAGATTCTTTACGAATCTTGCCCTAAGTACAAGTTCATCTCTTGTCCCACCTGCCACCGTGAGACTGTACTCTTCACTGACTATGGCCTGGCTGCACTGGCTGTCAACACATCCATCCTGAGCCGCTTGCCACCTGAAGCCCTGACTGCCCCATCCGGTGGCCAGTGGGGAGGTGAATCTGAAGGCAGCTGCTACCAGACCTTCCGGCAGTACTGTGGGGCTGCATGCACCTGCCATGTGCGGAACCCACTATCTGCCTGTTCCATCATGTAGTATCCACTTGCCAACCACTGCCTGCCGGCCCTCGCTCGCCGCTTCTTCAGGGAACTGGCCCTGTCCTGTTGCCCGCTGACCCTTTCTTGCCCACCTGTGGCTACTGGCCCTACCCCACGTGGCATTGTCACTGCAGCCAACTTTGCCATTAAAACTCTTTGCCAAAGTTCGAACTTGTTCACTGGTTGGAGCTTATTCCTGTGGGCTATGCAGATCTAGGGTAGGTTCTCACTGCTGTAGTCCAAACAGGGTCTAATTAAGCAGGAACTGCCAGAGGGCAGCCCAGCTCCATTCAAGGTTGGCCTGCTCTGCTTATTGAGGGCCAAGCTGGGCCAAGCATGAACTGGCTTGGGGCTGGCTGTGAACATAATGTGATAGGTAGCATATGAGTATGTGGCTCACCTAGGCAGACAGAACCTTCAGCTGTGTGTGGTGATGCTCACTGGTAGTTCCAGCAAGCTAAGGCAGGAGGATTATGAGGTCAGCATGTGTTACAATGAGATCCTATTTAAAATACAAAAGAACAAAACCAAATTTCCTCTGGCTGAGGATGTGTGGAAATGGCCTTTGGACAGCATGAGTAGAGACTCACAGTTGGCTAAAATCAAGGCAAGGACAAGGACCCTACAATCTCTGGTATGGCACTGGTCTGCCTGAGTGGAACAGGTATCACTGAAGGGCTGTGAGGAGAGCTGCCTGGATGGCAGAGATGGAGTAATAATGATGACGACTGTGGTAATGACAGTATCAGTCAGGGTTTATTGAGAGCCTTTCTTATGCTGGTTAGAGCACTCAGTCTAAAGCATCCCACCTTACATGTGTCACCAATAAATCATGAGGGGCCTTACATTTGTCTGCATCTCTCAAGTGAGGGTTCCTGGCCCAGTGACATGAATTGTATGGTCAGTTAGGAACAGAGCTGGACCTTGGGCATTTGCAGGCTTCAAGGTCTAGATTGGTCCTTGGCCCTTGCAGTAGAAAGCCCAGCTGCTCTGGGCTACTCTTTCCAGTGAGGCTATCTTAGTTTGGGTGAGGAGCTTTTGAAGGCTAGGTTTGTGTAGTGCAGACCTCTCTTGCTATTATGGCCTTCAGGGACCACCACCAACTTGTTTGGACCAGGTAAGAGTTCCTGTAGCCCTTGCCTTCTTCCAGGAATCACTGCTAGACCTCTGCTCACATTTGTGTCCATCCTAAACAGCTGGATCACAGGAGCTGATGGATGGCCCTGCTTCTGCCTGTGGCCAGTGAAGTGCCTGTCCATGGTAAACACATGGGATTCTATTCACTGTGTCCTTCCTTCTGGGCCAGTGTCCTTCAGAGGCCATCCTCAGCTTTAGACTGTATCTGGACTACAGGGGTGTGTAAGCACTCTGGCTGGCTCAGGCTCTTGGGCAGATCTGGTCTTGGTATTGGTGATTAGCAGATCTGAGCATGGCCTTCAAAGCTTGGCCAACATCCTGGGCCCTGCTCAGTGGCTGGAATGGTCAAGGAGCATGAAGAGCACCCCTCGTAACATCGGTGGCATGAAAATGAGTACCAGCCCCAGCAGTTCAAGTGCCAGCAGACTCACCAGTGACAGGCAGCAGGCACAAGTACCATGTTCCTGCAATGTCCACAGCCAGATACCTGGCCTGGGAGGGCAGGGCAGGAAGGGGAGACAACTCTGTTCCCCCACAGGCCCTGCCAGGAAGCACATTCAGTACTGGTGCTCTAAGGACTCCCAGGGCCCGGGCTCAGGGGTGTGGTGAATGCAGTAGGCAATGAGTACCAGAGTCCATCAGCTCGAAGCAGTTCCTCCTGCAGCTGACAGATCTTCCACTCTAGCACAGATGACACAGTGGATAGCACACCTAGCCCAGGTCAGCTCTTGGGGTCATGCCTAACAGCTGGTACATGCAGCCCACATACAGACTGTGACCACAGTTCAGCAGGAACAGGTAGTGCTCACCAGGCCCATAAGGCTCAGTGCAGATACGGCATTCTTCCTCTTCCTCCTCTGGCTGTTCCTCACCCTTTTCCTGTTCCTCCACACTTGGGTCTCTGGCCCCAGTTCCAGTTTACTGTCTGGAGTTCTGGCACAGAGGGGCCTCTTCATCTGCTGGCAGCTGGCAAAGTGGGTCCAAGAGCTCAGGACCCACAGAAGCACAAGATGAACTAGTGGGCCTAGAGCTGTTGCCATTAAGCCTCAGAGTAGAGCCACCAGAACATAAGTCAGGATGGGTAGATTTCAATTCCAGGGTGACAGCAGGAATTGTCTCAGGTGTGAAGGTTAGTGTGGCCCTCAGGACCAGGCAGAGTTTGGCCTCCATCCACTCACTGGAGCACTTCAGATACACCATTCAGCTTTCTGACCCTACTAGAAGTAAACTTCACTAGGGTCCCTGCAGTATGTCATCTCCTGGTATCTCAGGCCTAAGAGCAGTGTTGGCCAGGTCTGGTCCCTGTTCTAGCAGGTGATGGACAAAACAGAGGTTCCTTGGCTTCCAGCTGTCTCTGGACCTGTCTGACTACTCCAACAGGGTTTCTATTTCCAGGCCTAAGGGCCTTGCCCATGGGCCGGGCAACTCATATCACACCCCCTCCACCTACTCATTCTTCCAGCTCGTTGAGAAGGAAAAAATAGTGTGTTCTTGCACTTGGCTGAGACTTCTCAAGACCACTCTGGGCCCTCTGTTTGGCCATCAGAAGACCATGAGCTTGGCTTAGCTATGTGGGATTCAGAGAAGGGGACTAGCTTGGCTGAGCTGTTAGCAGATGCAGATAATCCATGTTCCACCCACCACCCTCAAATCTAAGAGAAGCAAGAAAGCAGAAGTGAGCAGCTACCCACACAGTTTATGGAAGATGTTTATGGACCTGAAGGCAAACTGATTTGCCCATTCTCAGTGCTCAGGAGACTTGACCCCTGGAGGCACAGGTACACAGGATGAATGGAAATAGCATTAGGTTAGAGGTGGCAGTGCAGCCCTCATAGGGTTCCATGCTTCTTGGAAAGTTTAGCAGGCCCTTGGTGTTATGGTCCATAGTGCAGATCTGGGGCAGAATGAAGGGACTGAGGAAGCCAGGAGTGCAGGCTGCACTGGAGTTGGGCTAAGTGTGAGACTCTGGGTATCCCCAAGTTTGCCTGTATGCAGGGAGAGCCCACATGGTCAGCTGGAACCAAAAAGCTATACCATGTGTCTTAACAAGTGTTCTGGGATCAGAGACAAAACAGGGCCTGACAAAGGGGCCCTCTAGACTTTAGTAGGCTCTCCAGTGCAGCTCCTAGTGTGGGTGTGAGCTAGCAAGTGGCTCCTCAGGCCCAGGTCTCAGTCTGGAAGCGCAGTGTGTGCTGGAGCCTGGCAAGGTAGGCAGCTGCATCGGCGTTGGAGAGTTTTCCTTCTTCTTGAAAAATGTATATCAGGGCTTCCGCAACGTCCGTAGGCATACACTTAGCATTGCTGGAGGGGCAGGCCTCAGAAAGCTCAGTGACCCTGGGAACCGAACCCCCCATTCCCCATCTCTGAAGTCTGGTCCACTCCTCTACATTCCCAAGTTGCCTCACCCTGCTAGGTAGAAGTAGGCACCGCGGAGATCCAGAAGCTCCCAGACAAGTGGCCCCAGCTCTCGGAGCCGGTGCTGCACATACACCTTCTGCTCCTGTGGGTGGCAGTGGGTGAGTTTCAGCCATCCCAACTCCCGCCCCACCTAACTTGAGAATACTCACCTGTTCCCGGGAGAAGGCTGTAACCAGTGTCAGGCAGCCCTTCTTCTCTAGCTCCTGCCACTCAGTCTGCCAGTAGAAATCCTGATCCCGCTGGCGACAGCCAAAGAACAAGAAATTTCCTGGGGTAGAGAGGGTAGCCTCCATCTGGATGCAGGGATTCAGCCAGACCAGTCTCAGTGGTCATACTGCCCTGGGACTCCTATACTCACCAGTTTGGCCATGGGCCACTCGCTCTTGAATGGCTGCTCGAAAGGGGGCCACACCAGTTCCAGGCCCCACCATGATAATGGGTGTGTCTAGTGTTTCTGGGAACACTAGGCTCCCAGGCCTCACCCACAGAGGCACCCGGACAGGTCCTGCTGAAAGAGGGAGAGGGCATAGAAGAGATCGAAAGACAAGGCTGAGGCACTCACTGGGGCTTGAGCAGGAGGAACAAGGGAAGATAAAGTTTGAGGCTACAGTCTCTTCTACCCCTCAAAATATGGATTACCTTGCCCAGGATTTAGGGATGCTAGCCAAGAGGAGCAGAGGCCACGGCGGGGCTCCTTGAGATGAGTCTTGTACTCTACCACAGCCACAAGGATCTGCAGCCTCCTGGGATGAGCCTAAGGACACAGTGAAGGCCCTGCCATACTGAACCACTCCTGCCTTCTACTAACCCCACCCAGGGACAGTTCCAGCTTTCCCACAGCCCGTCTTCAGTCATACTCAAAGAGTCCCTCACCAGTAAGGAGGAAGCAATGGAGAAGGCCCGTGGTCGGATCCGAGGGATGAGGTCCAAAAGGTAGTCTGGAGGAATGGCACCTGCTGTGTTGGGAAAGTCACACAGTACCTGGATAGAGAGAGTCTTATAATGGTGGGGGTGTGCATATACAGCTCAGGGGTCCATTACCTACTTGCCTGCTCACTAGCCTACCTCCAAGATGGTCCTGCGGGGTCGATTACAGTACTCCCAGAGCTCTTCCTGACCTCTGGCAGAGCAGAATTCTAGCAGCTTCTCCCGTTCCAGCACATGTGGGGAGAGACAAGCCAAGAGCTCAAAGAAGGAACGGCGGGGTACGCTGGCAATGTCCAAATACTGTGACACAAGATGCCACACAGTGCAGGGTTGAGGCAGCCCTGGTGGGCTAGGGACACCTGCAGTAATGGCATGGAGATTTGGTGGTCAGAACATCAGGTGGTGCCTTAGAGTTCAGAAGTGGTGCATCTCCTATACTCACCTGGCTCCCGTGGTTTAAGCATGAAAATCTGATTGGGGTCCAGGCACAGTACTTGACAAAACTGTTGGGTGTGGGCCTCTGAGTTAGAGGGTAGAATTAATACGACATCACCAGCAGCAAAACTGTATGGAAAAGTCGCCAGAGAGGTGGGAATGGTGTAAGAAGAACAAAGGAGCTGAAGGGAAGGAATGTGTACTTTGGAGGAGGATGAGGGGACTAAAGAGACTAAATAAAGTGCATATTCACAGAGGGCTGGATGTCTGTAGGCAGAGATCTCTGAGCTGCCAAGATGCCCAGTACTTGGCTTTGGCAGAGCCTTCTGAACCCCTACCTACTGCCTACTTTTTTCCTGACCACATCAGCACCCTGCCAGACTGCTTGAGGGCTTTGGACCCTCACCTGATATTCGAGTCTGTAATGTCAAACTCAATTAGCCGAACATCCTGGAAATGTCGAGGGCCAGTGACCCTCTGGTTGGTGACCACAGGTGCTAGGAATGGCTGTAACTCTGATGGGGGTCCCTGAGGGGCTGAGCTGGTTATGTTCAGCTCCTCAGCCCCTATACTGGTGACATCCTGAAGAATCTCGAAGATGTACCTGGAGGGTAAGCTGTGGAGAGTGGAAATATCAGTTGTGCAGGGGCCACTCAACCATACCGAGGGTGGGGTGGAGTAAACCAGCTCGAAGGCCCTTGGTAGTCATACACCCAAGGTTCAGACTCACGGGACTCCAGGAGGGATCTCAGGAAAGTCAAGGGGTACTGGGTAAAGACCCATTATCTTCTCCCAAAGGTCTCTCAACCAAGGGTCAATGGCAGCATCAGGCCTAGAAGAGAACATAGGCATTGGACTCTGTTGGCCAGAGCCAAAATGGGGTGCCACAGTGGGACACTGACACCAACACTTACCCCAGTTCATGCTGGTCATCACCTAGACATGGGGGAAGAAGGGCGTTGCCCCCTAGCTGCAGCAGCCGGCGATGTAGCTTCTTGGCCACAAAGTTGAACCTGTGGAGATAGCAAGGCAGGCCCAGGGTCTGGGAGAAACAACAGTGAGGAGTGGTAGTTTAACCAACCTCTTGGGCAGAGCAAAACAGTACAGGGCTTCCCTCAAGGGTTACTTCTTCAGTGGTGCAGACTGGCAGCATTCTAGGAGGAGACGGGGCTTCAGCATGCAGGGAATGAGATTGGAGTAACAACTAGGACAACAAATGGTAGGTCCCCAGATCTCAAGAAGGTGCCATGTAGAGAATAGTCTCATTTTATTTATCTACCCATATCACTGAAGTAACCAAGGTCCTGGATTCCCTGGCTAGGGCTCCAAAGTTACCATTGTTTACTGTGTGTGTGTGTATGTGTGTGTGTGTGTGTGTGTGTGTGTGTGTGCGCGCGCGCGCAGATAACCATGTTTTCCTGTAAGAGGATTTCCTTTCTTTGGTCTGTAAAGACTCACTGGTCCTTATTACAAACTTGATCTTTTGGGAACCACATCCATAGTCGGACTCCCTCCCACCTGTTCTGCACATCCACTACCAGTGAGCAAAATCTCTAGCAGAGCAAGGCCACACCACTGCCATCTTCCTATTTTCTATTCTTTTTGGTTTAGAGAGAGGGTCTCACTCTACAGTTTCTGGCAATCCTCATATCTTAGTCTTCTGAGTGCTGGGACTACAAGTGGGCGAGCCACCACACTCAAATTCCTTTTTCTGATCAATTTTTATCTAAAGTAATTAAGAACCATGCACACAACTTCTCAGGATTCTCAAAACTGGATGACACTGGGCCCCATGGAAAACAGAAAGCACAAGTACTATTGTCTTAGGTATCAGCTATCTAGTTGTACCTCTGAGCAGAAATCCCTCAAATCCCTTGGAAGTGAATGATGCTAACAGCACTGCTTGTGGATACAGTTGTGCACAAAAAACCTGAAAGTGGAAACCCATGAGCCTAACAAGCTGTCCACCTCATTGTTCTTTTCAAGTTGTCAATACTTTATAGTATGTTTTGAACCTAGTGAGGAAAAGGGACAGATTGGGTGTTGCTGAACTTCATCACGTGTTGTAACGCAATGCTGTAATGTAAGGCTGCTCTGAGCCTCATCATGTCCTATATTCCATGGTGGTACTCTACTACTCTGCTCCTTCCCCAACAGTGACCTCCTCTGCATCAAGTCCTTACAAGAATTAGGGAGTTATCTGTGGATAAGGTTGATCAGTCAACACAGTACAGGGCCACATGGTCTATAGTGGATGGGCACCTAGGGGCTTGGCTGCCTGTCTCATTTCTTGCTTTCATCTTAATAACTATCTCTGTGTGGCTAGCAAGTTCACCCCTACTTACTTGGCATATGAAGAGTCCCCGAGGCCTAGGACAGCAAAATCCATTTGACGGAGGGAAGTGGACAGCAGGCTCTTCCGGAATATGAACCTCCAGAAGTTCTGTAGTCACAGGAAACTGTGTTAGAACCTCAGGTCAGGCAGATTTTGTCTGTCTGTCTGAGGCCCCAGCAGGGAGAGGATGGTGTGGAAGAAAGACCATTAGAGCCCTGAACTGTACTTTGGCCAATATGGACATCTCTCCTTTGCATGGTGCAAAATTACAGACCAGAACCTGTACACAAAGATAACTTATCCTGTGTAAGTACTTCTCATAAATAAAGACCGGCATATCAATGCCCTGTGTTACAGGCAGAACTTAGTTTTTAAGACAGCCTGGTGCCCACTTGCAGTACACTCAATACACTATTCCTACCCTGGTCTAATGGATGATTAATTTACCACCCACCAGAAGGGATGGACCAGATAGAGGTTCTGACTGAAGTCCTCTGGGTGAAAAAGGGAGATGGGCTGTGCCCTGACTCTCTGAAGATATCAACTCACTGATTCATGCACTCAAACTCTGGATTTATACTGACCTTTTCCAGTTTGTTGCCCTCTGTCCCATCAGCCATCAGGCCACGCTGTTTATCCCCAAAGTTAAACCCACACTGTGTGAGTGCCTCTTTACAAGCACATGATCACTGCCTCAGGCTGCAATCTTGTCTGTGACATTATTTTTTTTTTTTTTTTTGCTTTTGTTTGTTTGTTTTTTGAGACAGAGTTTCTCTGTTTAGCTTTGGCTGTCCTGGAACCCGCTCTGTAGACCAGGTTGGCTTCAAACTCACAGAGATCTGTCTGCCTCTGCTTCCCAAGTGCTGGGATCAAAGGTGGGTGCTACCTGCAGAGCTCTGTGATATTGTTACTGTCCTTAATAACTTCCTGCCTACACCTTCTTCATTCTCTCACTCCTGGATGATCTTTAAGTTATTTTTTTCTTCCACTTTCCAATTTGTTTTTTGTTACAGTTCTTGGGAGAACTTCTCAGCTATCTCCTCTAACCCTTTGAAGAGCTTTTCCTGCTTCCCCACCTCTGTCTGCCTTACTTTGGTACTAGCCTCAGCGCAGGAATGCTGCACCTATTCTGTATTCTGAATTCTGAATTCTGTTTGTCTTTCCCTTTCACGGGAGTCTTCACTCCAGCAGACATATTCACTCATTCATATTCTGCGTGTGAGTGAGAGACACCTATTTGTACTTATGAAGCTGATAGAAAAGCTCTGGGACATGTCTGTCACTCAGTGGGTTTCACAAGCAGGGGATAAGCAGAGACCCAGTTATTGGATCTTTTCCTATATTCCAATGTGTTTTAAAGAGGACCATGGTAAAGAGGCCAAAGCCAAGGCTTTCCTGTCCAGCAGACAGACATGAGGAGCCACGCCCCTGCACGTGTTTTGCGGTGCTGGGTCTGCAGCTTCTTCAAAGGACTCCAGTTCCTGTTGTGATTGAGGAGACAAGAACTGACTACTGTTCCTACATGGCAGGTGCTGGACATCTTATCTGTTCATATACCAGCACACCTGAGACCTGAGGGAGATCTCTATTCCTTTATCTCCTTGTCCTTTTCTTAGTTGGTTTTTATTGAACTGTTTATTTTTAACACTTGGTTTTGTTTGAGACTACTTTGAGGCTAGCCTCAAACTCATGCATGGTCCTTCAGTTTCAACCTCTGGAATGCCAAGATTACAGGTGTATAACCACCATATTTGGTATTTTTTCTTTTCTTTCTTTCTTCCTTCCTTTTTTTTTCCTTTTAACTTTTGAGACATTAGTCATGTAGGTGAGGGCAGCCTGAACTCCTGATCCTATTTCACCTTTTCTAGTGCTGGCGATTACAGTGCCTGCCCCACATAGACTGTTCTCCTTAATGATCAAGGTGATCATTAAGGACACCTCTTAAGCCTCCCACCTTATCATCGGCCTTGGAAAAGGGAACACCTTTTGTTTGATCCTGATCATGCTAGATGGCAGTCCTGGAATAGGGGCTTTGGTTTTTCAAAATTTTATTTGGCTGCTTCAATAGTGACTCATGCCAGGACCTTCCTAGGTACTACACAGCTAACTGTAGCTTCTCTGGGTATCCTCTAGCACCTGCAACCCAGGTCCAGGTATGTATTTACTGTGTATCACATTTTCTTGTGTTGTGATTCTGCCATCTTCTAGATTCCTTTGATCACACATCCTGCTGACTCTATTTTTCTGGCTTCTCTGAAATGTGCCTGCTTTATTCTGCCTCGTGCCACCAACCAGCTCACATCTCCTGAGCACCTCTTGTTTGTGGTGGTGCATTCCCTAGTATTATTCTTGCCACCTTCAGACAGGTGGTGGTCTTGCTACCTTTCAAGTGCTACCATGCTACTTCCATAGTTTCGATAGCTTTCATCTTAAACCCATGTGTAGCAGTGTGGCCACCCAGGTTTTTTGAGTGAACTTTTCTTTCTTCCCCTTTTCTGACAGTACAGTCTCTGGCTTTGGAATCTCAAATATCTGCCCTTCACCCAGGTTGCTTCTCACAACTACCCACCCCTGCCTTTTATTAATTTATTTTGGAGACAGGGTCTCTCCATGTAGCCCTGGGTAGCCTGGAAGTCACAGAGCTTCATCTGCCTCTGCCTCCCAAGTGCTAGAATTAAAGGTGTGCTTCTTCCTTCCAAAAAATTGTGTTCCATTCCACGACCCCAGAACATCTGGAACTTTCCCTAGCTTCAGTTATCTCCTGGTAATTGACCACTACACCTGTGGGTTTTACCACTGAGCTCCATGAAGGAGAAATGTGGCTACTGTGTCCAAAATGGTGCCAGAAATATATGTGCTTGAGGGAAAAAAAAAAAAAAAAGAACTAAAGAATGTTTTCTGAGTATTACAAATCTTGAACATTACTCAGACCAAATTTCTACGCAGGTCTGGGAAACAAACAAAATGACTAAACATAGAAATCAAGGCTATTTTATCTTTTGAGTCAGTGTTTCTCTGTGTAGCCTTGGCTGCCCTGGACTATTTAGACCAGGCTGTCCTCAAAATCAGAGATCCGCCTGCCTCTGCCTCCCTGAGTGCTGGGATTACAGGTGTGCACCACCGCACCTGGCTGAGATCAATAGCACCTGGCTATTGAATGGGTATTAAGAGCTTTTTCTCTCCCCAGATCTACTCAAAGAATCTCCCTCACACACAATATGCTTTGAAGGGTAGCTATTTCCTGTGCACCTTGGGCCTCTCAGAGCAATGAACACGGGCGAGGGTACACATCAGGCCAGCCTTACCTTCATGTTGTCAGGAGGGTCTCCTTGGCCTGTGGTCGCACATACAAATATCACCAGGGGCTCCCTAATAAGATTCGCCTCAAGGACAAGACACAAGTAGGTGTAAGGTCTCTGTACCCCCGCGCCCGTACCGCCCACTGCCTGTCACCTACAGTGTTTATACAGAGTTGTTCCCAGTGGCCACCAGGCCTTCCCTTTCTCAGGCTGAGGCCTAGGGCCAAGCCTCCCTTTATTCTAAATCCGGCTGGGCCTAAAGGGCCTCACTCAAACATCCTCCTTCGGTGGACATGAGGTCCGGTGGAGGGTCTCCGCAGTAGTGCCTGAGCCTCACCACGGAATAAGAGTCCAGCGCCTGCACGCGGCAATCTAGCCGCCGGCGCCAAGCCTCGCGGCCCAGCCTCTCCGCCTCATCCTGGGCTGTGCCAGTCTGGCTGCCAAAAAGCACCAAGAGCTGTGGAACGGGCATTACCGCACACGCCGGCCACAACCGCACCCCTCCAACTTCCCTTTTCCGCTGTCAACAGGAAATGATGCGTTTTAGGTTGCGCCAGAGGGAAAGGGGCGAGAATAGCACTTAGACGTCGCGGGCTTCTGCTGGCATCCGCTTCCGGGTCAAGGTTTGGGTTCCGGAGGCCTGCGCAGCCCCGGGGTCGGGGTTCCCGCCCCGCTGGGCTGCTTGCTGCCTCGCTTGTGCAGCCGCGGCAGCAGGCGGTAGCCAGGCCCGCGGACGAAGCGGTCACGGCCCGGTACGGGGCACCGTTGGCCGGACTCCGGCGGGTATTAAACAGGCGCGATGTTATTCTCACTGCGGGAACTGGTGCAGTGGCTAGGCTTCGCCACCTTCGAGATCTTCGTGCACCTGCTGGCCCTGTTGGTGTTCTCCGTGCTATTGGCACTGCGAGTGGATGGCTTGGCCCCCGGCCTCTCCTGGTGGAACGTATTTGTACCCTTTTTCGCTGCTGATGGGCTCAGCACCTACTTCACCACCATCGTATCCGTTCGTCTCTTCCAAGACGGAGAGAAGCGACTGGCTGTACTGCGTCTCTTCTGGGTTCTCACCGTCCTTAGCCTCAAGTTTGTCTTTGAGATGCTGTTGTGCCAGAAGCTAGTGGAGCAGACCCGAGAGCTCTGGTTCGGCCTGATCACATCTCCGGTTTTCATTCTCTTGCAGCTGCTCATGATCCGGGCTTGTCGTGTCAATTAGCCTCTTGCAGGGATTGGAAATGGAGCATTGCGCGCAGCTGGAGTCCTGGACCTTCAAGTCCAGACGCTACTTGGCGCTACACTGGTGGAGCTTTGGTCAGAAATCAGTGTCTACTTGTTCCCAGCTTACTGTCCACTTTTCCTTATATCTAAGATTGTTTCCTCAGCAAAACTTAAAAGTGAAGCTTCGATTATTAAAATTTATTTTCTGTTAGTCATACTCTGAGTTGCCAAACAATGCTGAACTTTTCTGACACTTGGAAATTGCATATAAGTAAAATATCCTGATAGGCTATGACTCTTATGGTGATGTACCCCTGTATAAATCAGCGTGTTCACTCAGCAATATTGACCTCAGCTTACCCCTCCATCTGTCCAGGCCAGACTTCTTTATACAATTGATAATGTCACACTATTTCCAGAAGTGGCTGAAAAAAGAAAAGGGACATGTGGATGTAGCTTGTTGGTAGGGTGTTTACCTGTGATCTCATTTTGGGTGGCGTGGAGGCAGAAGGATCAAACTGTGTTGTCATTATTGGAAACGGCTGGAAGCCAAGAGAGGAGAGAGAGGAAGAAGTGGAGGAGGAGAGGGGATGAGTCTAAAAGAGTACCAACAAAGGTTAATAGTTGACAGATCAGATATGCCCTGCAGAGTACAGTTTTTCAGCATGCTTAGCTATTGGAGCTGGAACATTTTTTGTTGTTTGTTTTGTTTTGTTTTTCAAGACAGGGTTTTTCTGTGTAGCTTTGTCCTGGAACTCCTTTGTAAACCAGGCTGGCCTTGAACTCACAGAGGTCTGTCTGCCTCTGCCTCCTGAGTGCTGAAATTAAAGGCCTGCACCAAATTACATTATTTTTCTTTAAAGAAAAAAAAAAGGTTTATGTGTGGATGAGTGTACATTTGCATTTTAAAAGGATACAATTGATAATGGAAAAGGGCTTGCATCATTTTTCCTCTGTTCTGTGGAAGAAAAGCCTTTTCTTCATTCCATCGCAGGCCTGCAGATCCCAGGAACAAGTTATAGCCATACAGGTGCTAGGAGCCAAAACCAGGCACTCTGCAGATCAACATATGTTCTTAACTGTTCTTAACACTGAACTATCTCATCAGCTCCTGGATCATTCTTTATTGTAGAGGAAGAAGAGACTGTTCTGGAGATGGAAGATATTTAGTAGTGTTCCTGGTCTTTACTTGGTGGACGTCAGTAGCAGCCTTCATTTGTAGAAATAAAAAGTTTGTTCTGACATTGTAAAGTTTCCTGGTGACAAAACTGTCCTTGTTGAGAATCACTAGGGTAATAACTTGGTGTGACCCTTTGCAGAACAGCCAAGCTGGCACAGCAGCTTGTGCCTCCTCTGCTGGGGACAAATACTTAAGTCATGTCACACACTGAGGAGGATATGAGTCAAGAGGTGACTCGTCTGGTTTGCCCCCAGCTAGAAAAAAGTTTCCAGCTTGGGATTGGGCTAATTTTTGACAAAGCAAGACACAAGTTGAACTTTGGAGTGATTTTCCTTGCAACATTTCTTAGATTTTGTTTTGTGTGTTCCTGTCTTATTTTGGTAATTTGGAATTGGGAAGTGTGAGTATAGAAACCTTGAGTTTCCTCTGGAGAAATGATGAGGGACGGGCCTATAACTCAGTGTTAGAGTGCTTGTCCAGCATAAAAAGTCCAGGTTCAATCCCGATAGAGCCAAGAGGTAAATACATTGTTGATATACTTATTTTTAGCTATCTTATTTGGGTTTTTAGACCTCTTTTCCAACCCTAATCCTTTCTAACACCAGGTAGGAGAAAAAGGTTAGTTGAAAAGGGGTGGTGGTGGCACATGTCTCTTCAGACTAGTTCCTGCTGTTTGGAGACATAGTTCTTTTGAGCAAGTCAAATCTTTATCATCAGGCTATCCAGCAAACCAGCAACAGCAAACACAACAGCAGGAAGAACCAGCAGTAGCTTGATGGGGAAGGGGCCAGGGAGAGAAGCAGTAGCCTTCTTTGGGAGTGTCTCCACCCATCTCAGCGCTGGCATTTATTCCCTCTCCAGAGTCCCAGAATTAAATTATTTGCAGCTGGCAAAGTGCATGTTCTCAGAGCCTGCATGAGGCAAATAGTCTGCTGCTGTGAACAGTCTGAAGCAGGCTCATTTCCCCTGGGATAAAAAAAACCAAAAAAACAAAAACAAAAAACAACAACAACAAAAAAAAAAACAACATGCTAATATAACTGAGGGTTTGAATTTTTTTTTTTTTTTTTGAGATAAGGTTTTACTGTGTAGCCTTAGGTTGCCCTGAAACTCACTTTGTAGACCAGGCTGGCCTTGAACTCACTTCTGCTTCCCAAGTGCTGGAATTAAAGATATGCACCACCTACCCAGTATCATAACTCCCACTACAGTAAGTGATTTGAAAAAGACTCTAGGTTGAAGCTTCTGTATTTGCAGAGACCGATATTCCATGAAGCAGAGTCACTGGAAGGCAAATGGCACGGGAGGCAGCAGTGCCAGGCCTCAGCTGCCTGTATACTATAGGGGCAGATAAAGGAAAAACAGACTACGGTTTGTAGCTCCCAATTTCTAATGTCTCCAAGCACTCGCTTTACTGTGTACGCTGTGGAGGGTATTTATTGGGCACTATGCAGCTCTGCCCAAAGAAACTTCCTCAAGACTTGGCTGTGAGGTTGTGCCCCTTCAGAGTCACTAGCCCCAACGCATTCTTGGAGCTAGGGGGTTCAACAGGAGTGAGTAGCACCTTTACCCTAGTTTTTGTACTCTGCATGACAGAACTGTGTAAGTGTGTGAGTCTTTGTTTCTATGTGTAACCTGTTTGTGTTAGAAATGAGGTTGCTTCTTGGTGCCTCCTACACATGGATACCTGGCAGGACCATAGTTCGGCAAGCTGTGCGCCAGATATTCACACATGTAGGTCTAATCAACAGGTCTGGGATTTACAAAACCAAAATTCTCGAAAAAAATCATCTTATGCCTGGGTGGATCTCAGAAGCAACATCTTTAGGTCCAGAAGGGGTCCTTGTCTGCCTGCTCATGGAGGTTCAAGGACTCCAGATTGGAGCAGGGCCTGGCCCTGAAGGTGGAAGGTCCATGCAGCTTGTTCACAGGAGCAAGGACCTCCCGGCTCCGGCGCCGGGCTCTCTGCCAAGAAAATAGAGTGGATGTCAGAATACCGATAGTGTCAAGTGCAAAGTCAGAACTGTGCCAAGATTACATATGTTGCAAGGGTCCGCTAGCCGATACGCTAAGACCAGCCTTCATGCAACTATGGGTCCAAGGTGCCGGGTCCAGAGCGCAGAGGCGGAAGTAAGGAGCAGCCATTGAGCTGCGCCTTACTGGAGAGCAAGTCGAGGGACCGTCCCCAATAGGGACTGGCCGGTTACGGTTGTAATCCAATGAGAACGCCATGGGGGAGTATCTAAGGGAATGTTGTCCAATCACCTCAGCGGTATGCTTTTGCTGTAGGTGGGCTGTTCTGCCCTTGGTTCCGAGCGCTCTTGCCCAATTGGCAGCTATCAAGGGGGGCGTGGCACGGCGGGGTACCAAGGCAGGTCCTGAGAGTCTGTCCGGCGAGCGGCCGCCGGTGCTGTCCAGCTGCCGGCCGCGTCCACAGTATGGCCGGCCTGGGGCGGCCCGACACGGGGCCGCGCACCGCGATGCCCGCCTGGAAGCGGGAGATCCTTGAACGGAGGCGAGCTAAACTGGCCGCCCTGAGCGGAGGACCGGGATCTGGAGCGGCGTCGGAGGGGCCGAACGAGCGGCTGGTGCTGGCCGAGAGTCTAGGTCCGCTAAGCGAGAACCCGTTCATGCTACTTGAATCGGAGCGGCGGCGCGGGGCGCGGCCGGCTCAGCAGCTGCTGGAGCTGTACTGTCGTGTGCCGGGCGTTCGTACCATCCGAGCCGACAACATCCTCATCATCGAGTCAGCACCTGGCTTCCCGCCCTCTGTGCGGCCCGCTGCTAGTATTCGAGCTGCCGAGGTAGTGGTGTACGAGGCGCCACAGCCGGGCCGTGTCAGCCGCCTGCTGGAGAAGTTCGATTCGTCAGCAGCGCCCCGCCGCCGAGGTAGCCCCGAGCGCTTCCGCCCTGCGCTACCGCTGCTTCCCGTGGCGTCTGCTTCTACTGCCACGCGCGCTCCCACCAATCGTTCGTTGGCTCCTGCCCCACCTGTGCTCCCCTGCCAGTCCACACTCTCTATTTCACCTGTCCCCGTTGCTCAGCGCACCGGTCAGCGTTCCGCCTGTTGTGAGCCTGCGCACTCCGATGGCACTGAAGGTCCAGGGGCTCGGCGTAGGGACTTCCTACAGAAGACCGGCAGCAACTCTTTCACTGTCCATCCCCGGGGCCTGCCCCGCAGTGCAGTCAATTGCTCGCTTTCTCATGGACCCATGACCCAGGAGTCCCCTGCCGTCCCTGCCAATGGGTTGTCGGGCTCTCCGCCTGTGCCGGGTAATTGGAAGCCAAAGGTGGAGTCAGGGGAACCCTCCCTTCACCCGCCCCCAAGCCCTGGGACCCCAAGTGCCACTACAGTTGGACTTCCTGCCCTCCCGGCGCCCAGACCAGCCAGTGCCACTCCCAGCCAGCGCCAGTGGGTCTCCTCTGCTACCAGCGCCAATGATTCCTTTGAAATAAGGCTAGCCCCAAAGCCAGATGTGGAAACTATCCCAAGTGGGGACCTTCAGGCCAGGGCCCTGGCCAACCTCCGTGTGAATTCCTGCAACTCCTTCGTGTTGATCCCTAAGCACAAGGCCCCTGGGAACTATCCTTCGCAGGGGAGTCAATCCGAGGAGCCGAAGCAGGAGGTGGGCTGGGCCTCTCAGAGCCAGGGCCTCGGAGCCCAGCTGGTGTCTACAGTGGATAGTGCACCTGCCATAGAGAAGAAGCCCTTGGCTGCTGAGGTGCAGTGGGCAGTTAGGGAGGGGGGTTACCCCAGGCCAGCCACTTCTGTCACAGACAGGTCTGTTAGGTGGCAGAGACCATCCTCACCTCCATTTGTACCAACCACTGTTGAAGCTGATTTGGCTGAGGGCCTGGGGGTTCCTGGCTTGGCCAAGAATGGCCTGGAGCCTGTGAGGCCAGGACTTCCAGTCACCTTCATTGATGAAGTAGACTCAGAGGAGGAGGCCTTTCAAGAAGCCAAACTGTCCTCCTCAGCAGTTGGTGTGCCTCCCCAGCACCACCTGCACCTTGCCAGGCCTGGGCACACCTCAGAGCTCCCCAACCGAGGCAGCAACACTTTCATAGTAGTGCCCAAGAGGAAGCCAGGGACCCTTCAGGAGCCATACGTAAGTCAGACCAATGGGCAGTCCCAGCAACAGGAGGCTGAGGAACAGGGTGCTGATAGCCTCTCAGGACCCCACACTACCCTGGAGAACACCCTAAAGAAACGGTACCCCACTGTGCATGAGATTGAGGTGATTGGTGGTTACCTGGCCCTGCAAAAGTCCTGCCTCATCAAAGCTGGCTCCTCAAGAAAAAAGGTAAGTGCTAAGGAGAGGGCTACTGGCCTGAACTGTTTCTACATAAATCACAGAAGAATTGGGCTGTGGGATTGTACTAGGTCCAGGGCCCTTGTTGAGCTGTGACAGCTGTAAAGCCTACTGTTTACCTCAGAGATTTGGGAGAGCTGGCCAGGTAATATAGAGCTCCTGCATCCCTTTGGAATGGGTAGTTCCAACTAAGGTAAGCTTCAGCCTGGCCTGTTGGCTCTGGCCTGGCATTTGATTTGAGGGTAGCGTGGCATGTTCCAATGGAGCTTGGCTTGGACAGATATCCAAAGCTTAGATGTAAAGGGGAAGGAAGTAGGCCAGTCATTTCTTTGCAGGTCTTTCTCACGTTGAGTTCAGTCTCATAAGCCAGTTGGAGGGGGTTCTCAGCACCCTGGAAGATACAGGACCAGAGCATGGCAAACCTTTGCCTTTTGCAAGCATAGATTGAACCCAAGGCTTCATGCCAGACTTGGTCAAGAAGGCCTTGGGGCAGACACACTCAAGAACAATCCCCTAGAGGCTCAAAGCTGGCCTGGGTGAGCCATATTTCCTGGTTAGTTCTGGCCAGTGGCTCAGAACCGTCTGGGCACAAAGAACGCGTTCCTCAGATCCTTCCTGAGTGTTCCAGGGCCTGTGTTTGTCCCCTGGGGCAAATTCCAAGACCATTCCAATGACTCTCAGTCAGCTGGTACAGGGAGGTGCACCTTTCCCTTCTGTGGAGATGGCACCTGCAGTGTCTACTCCACAACAGCTAAACT